GAAAGTCAGTATAGTCCTGGGTGGAAATACTGAAACCAGAACATCAGACAATAGTTTTTAATGGATGCGTATTTAGTGTGACGAAATAAAAGCACCACAACTCGGATGTAGAGTAGGGAATGAGACAGAGACTGATAGATAGACGCTAAGTCTGTTTGAGTGTAAACAGGGTAGTGGTCTGTGGTCAGAGAGTGTGTTTGTGTTCCTCTCCTTGAACCGCATCCTGAGGAGAGAGAAAGGGAGAGGGACAAACAACAACACAACTGCTGCTCCTGTGGTTACGGTGACCACCGGGGATCTCGCTATAGACGAGAGAGGAGAGAGAGAGAGAGAGAGAGATAGAGAGTAGAGAATGAAGACGAGCGAGCGTGCGGAGAGAGAGAGAGGAGAGAGAGAGAGAGAGGCAGAGAGAGGGGAGACTGAGAGAGAGAGGAGAGAGAGAGAAGAGAGCAAAAGCGGCGAGAGAGAAAAGAGAGATACAAAGAGAGAGAGACGAAGGAGATAGAGTGCAGAGCGAGAGAGATAGCGAGAGGAGAGAGGGAAGATAAGAGAGAGAGGAGAGAAGGAGAGAGAGAGACAAGATGGGAGAGAGAGATCACAAGAACTATAGCGTCTACTATCTCTGAGCGATATAGAGCTATGAAATCTCTCTCTCTCTCTCTACCTCTCTCTCTCTCTCTCTCCTATCTATCTCTCGCGCTCTCTCTCCTCTCTCGTCTCGCTCTCTCTCGCTCTCTCTCTCTCTGTCTTCCATAGTTGCCTTTCCTCAAATTCTCTGTGAAACACAAAGAATATGAAAGGCTGTAGGTAATGTAACAGGCTGTCCACTCGAGTGTGTGTAGATAATCACAGACCTGAATGAGCCTGTAAAATGAGACAGAAACCTCAGGTCTGTAGTCTGACAGAAGGTCTGTATTCTGACAGAGGTAAGAGAAAGATTTCATTTCACAGCCTCCTCTCTGTTCTCTCTGGATTACTCTGTATTCCTGCCCTCCTCCCTTAAAGCAACAATAAGCTCAAGGCAGCGGGAAGCCTGAGAATTGGTTCAATAAAAAACCAAGCAGAACCAGAGGAAGAGAGTATTATGGGTTTTATATTGCTAGGTCACAAAAATACAGTTGTAGAAGCCATGCTTTCATGCCTTCATGCTTTGCAAATCTACAATTAGATACAAATCCAATATAAAGAGCCAATTTAATCTAATTTGTTTCCTTTCCAATTATCTCTGTTGACTTCACTTTGCTTCATAAACGTAGTAAAAACATTTCTCAACTGAAATCTCACTTACAGCTGTAGAGACTAGCAAAGAACCTGGGAGGCAAGATACGGCATGCCCTTCCTGACCCAAGTTTACAGTGCCCTCTGGAGTTTTCTTCAGGGCATCGCTATTTAAACGTACAAATAGCTGGACATGAACCCATACTATGCTATAGCTATAGGTTGCAGTCTCTGAGATGTTTTTTTAGTGCTACAGTAGCTGTGTATATGTGTGTGTGTGTATATGTGTGTGTGTGTGTGTGTGTGTGTGTGTATATGTGTGGCTTGTGTTTAGTGACTCTTCACCCTGTTCCATTGTATTCATTTCTGCAACGTTGCAGAGTATGAATAATACCTGCGTGTCCATCCTGGCAGTGTAAATGGTGGGAAAGGAGCGGGGTCAGAGGGATCTATCTACAGATTACTGCCTTTGAACACTATCTAGGTCAGGGTGATCGCTCCGCCTGGAAACCATGGAAATACAAGACCAACACATTTTGGTCAGGGTGACCATCTCTCATTCACTCCATTCAATACTCACCTTTCTGATCTATATCTCTACCACCTCTGCTACCCCTTTCCTTCCTTCCCCTGTTATCAAGCTACTGTACTTTTCCTGTAAGCTATTGGCAGGGCATTATGTTGGATACATTTGAGAAGTCATTAGTGTTGCCTTAAGTCATTAGTGTTGCCTTAATTCTTAAGAGTCAAAAAAAAAATAATGGACCTTTACTACTATAGCCCATAGAAATGAATTAAATAATACATTCATAAATGGCAAAAAAGACTGTCAAAAACAATCCCAATGAATAAGGTTTTTAAGTGTCTGTCGTATATCTAGGAGATATAAAAAAAGCTCAAGAAATATTCAGTTGAAGTCAGAAGTTTACATACACTTAGGTTGGAGTCATTAAAACTCGTTTTTCAACCACTCCACAAATTTCTTGTTAACAAACTATAGTTTTGGCAAGTCGGTTAGCACATCTACTTTGTGCATGACACAAGTAATTTTTCCAACAATTGTTTACAGACAGATTATTTCACTTATAATTCACTGTATCACAATTCCAGTGGGTCAGAAGTTTACATACTCTAAGTTGACTGTGACTTTAAACAGCTTGGAAAATTCCAGAAAATTATGTCATGGCTTTAGAACCTTCTGATAGGCTAATTGACATCATTTGAGTCAATTGGAGGTGTACCTGTGGATGTATTTCAAGGCCTACCTTCAAACTCAGTGCCTCTTTGCATGACATCATGGGAAAATCAAAAGAAATCAGCCAAGACCTCAGAAAAGAAATTGTAGACCTCCACAAGTCTGGTTCATCCTTGGGAGCAATTTCCAAATGCCTGAAGGTACCCCATTCATCTGTACAAACAATAGTACGCAAGTATAAATACCATGGGACCACGCAGCCATCATACCGCTCAGGAAGGAGAGGCGTTCTGTCTCCTAGAGATGAACGTACTTTGGTGCGAAACGTGCAAATCAATCCCAGAACAACAGCAAAGGACCTTGTGAAGATGCTGGAGGAAACAGGTACAAAAGTATCTATAGCCACAGTAAAACGAGTCCTATATCGACATAACCTGAAAGGCTGCTCAGCAAGGAAGAAGCCACTGCTCCAAAACCGCCATAAAAACCTAGACTACGGTTTGCAACTGCACATGGGGACAAATATCGTACTTTTTGGAGAAATGTCCTCTGGTCTGATGAAACAAAAATAGAACTGTTTGACCATAATGACCATCGTTATATTTGTAAGCCAAAGAACACCATCCCAACCGTGAAACACGGGGGTGGCAGCATCATGCTGTGGGGGTGCTTTGCTGCATGAGGGACTGGTGCACTTCACAAAATAGATGGCATCATGAGGAAGGAAAATGACATGGATATATTGAAGCAACATTTCAAGACATCAGTCAGGAAGTTAAGGCTTGGTCGCAAATGGGTCTTCCAAATGGACAATGACCCCAAGCATACTTCCAAAGTTGTGGCAAAATGGCTTAAGGACAACAAAGTCAAGGTATTGGAATGGCCATCACAAAGCCCTGACCTCAATCCTATAGAAAATGTGTGGGCAGAACTGAAAAAGCGTGTGCGAGCAAGGAGGCCTACAAACCTGACTCAGTTACACCAGCTCTGTCAGGAGGAATAGGCCAAAATTCACCCAACTTATTGAGGGAAGCTTGTGGAAGGCTACCCGAAACGTTTGACCCAAGTTAAACAATTTAAAGGCAATGCTACCAAATACTAATTGAGTGTATGTAAACTTCTGACCCACTGGGAATGTGATGAAATAAATAAAAGCTGAAATAAATCATTATCTCTACTATTATTCTGACATTTCACATTCTTAAAATAAAGTGGTGATCCTAACTGACCTAAGACAGGGAATTTTTACTAGGATTAAATGTCAGGAATTGTGAAAAACTGAGTTTAAATGTATTTGGCTAAGGTGTATGTAAACTTCCGACTTCAACTGTATATTTTTTACACATATTTAACTCATTGTTTTGGGTAGGCACAAAACTACCTCCATACTTCCATTCATTTTTGAAACGGGTACTGGTTACCTTCAGACGAGTCCTGTGACACTTGTGGGGGTCATAGAGTAAAACAGAGAACACATTGTGTTCTTGAGAATCGCCCCTTTCCACGGTGGGGTCCCATTAGTTTGTAGCCCGGACGCTACAAACAGAAGTTGGCACACTGACGATACCGTTCAGACACCACAGATGTTTTCGTGAGAAGACCGATTTTTGGGATGTCTCATGGTCTAACAAATACAGCTGTAGCTCAGCCACCTTCCACTGCAGATGCGGAAGGCCACCATAGGCAGATGCAGTGGATTGAGACGCAGCCCATGCAAAAAACTAGATATCTCTAGCTCAAACTGACTGATTTTGATGGGGATTTTTTTATTATGTTACTTAGATTGACACATAAAGCAGCAGCCCGGTCAGGTCTGTTTATGGAAACTTGGCGAGAGAGAGGGTGGTGCTACTTCCCCCTGGAGCGGATTGTTATTAAGTGTCCAAGCTGACCCTACCACACAATAAAGGTTACAGAGCTCTGCTACGGCCAGGGGAGAGGAAGAGGAGACTTTCCATTTTCATTGGCGGGCCTTTTTGGCCACACTTCCTTACCTACATGAAGTGACTAAACAGTGTATTAGTCAGACTTATCACTGTAAATTATTCCAGGCATTTTTAAAGGCATTATTACAGGCATTATGACCGTAAACAACAACAGGATGCCATACAGTAATGACATTATGTTACTGTTACAGTCAAAACCATAGTCACTAATGTGTTGACCACAAGAGGTCACTGTTGGCTCATGCATCAGTCTTCCAAGGATTACAAACTGAGAAAATTGAATTTAACAGAGGGAAATGTACAATGATGCTGTACAACTATTATATTTAGTTTGATTATTTAATATCTATATATTTTCAATCATGGAATTCAAACATCACATCAGTGCACTTTCCAATATTGACGTAGGCTTCTGGTCAATTTTGTGATATTTGGTAACAGTTCTGTACCAGGATCCTACCACATTAATGCTGAGAGGAAAATACTGGCTGAGTAATACTTGCAGACATTTTACATTGATAAGAGTTTATTAAATATAAGGCAACACAATGCAGTAGGTCAGCATGTTGTGTAACAGGTACTGAGAGATTAGATTGGGGGTTCTGGTGGGACATGGTTTTGTGTTAGATCATCACTCAGAGTCAGATTCTGAACATACCAAAGAAGGAGGTGTGAGGCTTTAGGACGAATCCAGCAGATTTCCTGGGAATGGAGAGTTCCAGAGTGGATCCTTGCTCCAGGTAATGGACAACTGAGGGAGAAACACTGGGAACTTCAGCACTGGGTGTAGTAGTGCAGTAATTGCGTTCCGTATTATAAGTCATTCATTTGAATTTCATTTGCAACACACACTGGCTGGGGTTGGGAAGACTCACCAGCTGTGTAGCAGGTGTTTTGGGCCACAGTGATGTTGCTGGGCATGCTTTGTATGCACGTCATCAAGCTGGTTTCGATACCATGTAGACGCTTCTTGATCACATGAACCATAGTCCATGTGGTGTCTATCCAGCACCTGTACACAAACACAGCGATGGTATAGAGGGGATCTTGACATCCTCTCAAGAGATGACAATATGTCTATGTTTTAATAGGCTACCTAACTGTAAATGAAGTAAGTCCCTTCAGTTACCACGGTGACCGTTTCTCCAGAGACCTGCATCCCCTCCCCTAGACTCTGTCCTAAAGCCCATTTCACCAGAGTGTAATCGTCTTCATCTGAGATAACATAGTGGTTGCAAACATGAAGTGTATGTGTGTGTTAGAGACGAAAGAATGTTGGAAGGTATTGTAGTCAGTGCCAACATACTGTGTGTGTGTGTGTGTGTGTGTGTGTGTGTGTGTGTGTGTGTGTGTGCTGCAAGAGACTGACCAGTGCACTGCTGCCTCTGCCTCCCATGTCTTGAAATCTCCCTCTTTCCTCTAATTCCATCCCATTTGGTAGGTCTGTGAGAGTCAGATTTCTGTATAAAATCCCAGATGTGATGTCAGATGTGAACCTCATAGTGTGCTAGGAATCAGATGTTTCAGATATGTGGTAAACAATCAACTAGCCTAATTGTCATCCTTTTTTCCAGACTTCAACTCCATTGAAAAGTGTGCTGGATAATTGGCCTTATTGTTCTAAGCATTAGGCTAACAATAAGCATGTTGATTGATTCCTTAGTTCAAAATCAGAAATAGCCTAGTGAGTATAGCCTAAGAATATTTATTGACTTCTCAAAAACATACTTTACAAATCAAGCAAAGTTTCACAGTAGTGTTTTATTTTCCCCCGTAGCCTATAACCTATGAGTAGGCCTATATGTGTAAACTCACCTACCCCGCACACCAACCTGGTCCACTGACGCAGCTCCCGCAGTTCGATCTGCATCTCTCTGATGCGGTTGGACTGCAGGACCATCATGCAGCCAAGAACAGCGACACCGTGAACAGGAGATATGTGCCATGAACATTTACTGTATAACTGTTTGTCTTTATGTCACACAGGCGATCGCAACTGCTGCAGGGACCCGTACAAAGCCTTTTCAATGAAGGCTTTGTACGGGCTGTAATGATCCCGCTATATGTTAAGCTACTTTCACTTTCTGGATGTCATCATGACAGAATGGGCTGGAGGAATTATTGATCCCATCATTTGGAAAACAATGACTCATGCATTCTAGAATTACAAAATAACTGCTATCAAGACTTGGAGGAAGTGTGAAAAAGTGATATGCTACAGTAGGCCTACAGAATGCCATTAGGATCCTACATTGAAGTCTAAAGCAAAGGTTAATGTCTAGTCTTTATTAAATGTTTATAATACAATTTGTTTTGATAAAGACAGTGACCAAGACAGACAAGTTGCTGATAAAAATAACTGATTGTAATAACTGAATACAGTTCAGTGGGTTTGCAGCACTATACATTATAATTAATGAATGTATATGCTTGGCTTTCAAGGGAAATGGCTTACTGCACAGCATATTCCCCTTGAAAGCCAAACATAAATTAATAAATTTCTAGTCAGGTTGTCTGGCTTTGACAGAACAAGGTCAAAGTCCTTTAAGAGATGGACTCAGTTGAAGGCTGAGGCCACTAGTCTCACACTTCGCTACCTCAAAAACTGCCTCGACAGCCCTTCCGGGAACTGAAAGCCTTCTCAGACGAGGAATGGGCTGTCAAAACATCAGTGGAGTGAGCAGCCAAGGCAAATCCTTAAGCAATTTTTTTCTCTAATATATTTCCTTATATAAAGCTCCCCAGTTCAAGACCATACTAGTCACACTGGAATGCAAACTAAAATGTTACGTTTTATGTATTTATTTCCTCAAATTTTTTCATTGCCTGGCTATCCGTTGTAACATGAACTGACCAAGTGTTTTAAGCTGTAAAATCTGAACAAATGTAAAGTAACATGGCAAAACATTTCCCTCAAACTCTTAATCTGATCAATACAAATTATTTCCCCTTCATACAATGTGAACTGCTTTGGATAAATATATAAAAAATACAATTACTACTCTGCAGTGTGCCCATTGCCCGAGAATTCATTATGGGACAGACAAGGGCCTTGCCAACCCCCCATGGCTTGTCTATCAGCAGTTGCCAGGACAAATGACATCATCGGATTCCCGCCAGGAGCAAGATGGGACGCTTGTTCAAATCCTCCAAACAGACTCTGCAAAGACATCACAGTAGAATAAGGGATATTCACATTTGCTTCCTCAATTCCAGTTACTCTATAATATAATATCAGTCAGTCGTTCATCCACCTCCTGCTGGACGTAAGGACTGGTGAGGGTTGGACTGAGGGAGTCAGTGTCTTCACCCTGCCTCTCCACTGTAGTGGTGCTGAAACCCAGGCTGGGCTCCAGCTGAGCCTGAGGCATGCTGCTGTCATCTGCTGGCCCCTGGGAAATGCCCTCTTCTGCCTTACACCTGGGATTGGAGCCCCACCAAGTCCCCCCCTTCAACCTGCAACAGGATTATGTTTGGGTTCATTTGAAGAATTAGGTTTCTATATTTAATGATAAGCTTATCCTCCTCAATGAGCCGCTGGCTCAGGCCATCCATCTCCAATGCCCTATCTGGCATCAGAAGCCTTTCACTGACTGATCAATAGAGCTCTATCACCTGCAGAGGTCCCCAATGAGCTGCAGCACTGCTGCCACTCTGTGCTGCTCCCCCAGTACTCCCCTTTTTCTTCCGGCCCATCAGCAGCTGAAGAGTTTCCCAAGACCCAGCCTTCCCCCTTTTTTTAACCTCTTTATCCTGCTGGAGGTGCTTCTGCCATGATCACGCCAACCTTGTACATAATGGAAACAAACAAACTCTTTACCTCAATCATAGGAGGTTGTACCAATTAAAAATATGACAGCCACAGTGAAACATGTTTAGGTTACTAAGTCATTGGCTAATCGTCTGTGGTTTACTCACTAGTCCTTCAGGTTTATTTTAGAACCTCTGCATCTGAAAAGGGCTGTAGGATGTGGCGGGCTCAGGAGACACTTCTTCATTCATGAACAACAGATACAGACCTCTATCAGTAAGAGTGCATTTGACTGGAGCATTTCCAAACATTGATTGCGTACTGTATGTGTTTATAATAGAGTGAGATTGTTGGTGGTGAGTGAAGAGGACACCACCTTGGCTGACATAGAATCCTGTGACAGAAATCTTCTCGGCTCTGTGACAGGGAGCTAGACTGTGGGGGAGGAGGGCTAGGCTCAGTCTCAATCTCTGAACTCTGATACTGCACAACCTTGGACCTCCTGAGGGTGTGGAAAACACAATGTAAGCTTCTTATTACCTGAAATAATGGCTTATCTTTTAAAATTATACATCCTGAATTCTTGCAACATAAGTAAAGGAGAGGAATCAAAGTGCCTTGTTCAAAAATGAATGTTACAGACACACAAATATCATACCCCCCAAAAATGCTAACCTCCCCTGTTATTGTAATGGTGAGAGGTTAGCATGTCTTGGGGGTATGATATTTGTGTGTCTGTAACTTTCTCACTCATCATTATTTACGATTCATTCAGGACTGTCCGTAATCATGGTAGCATCCACATTAATGTAGACGTGTTTAGAAACATATTCTCTTCTTATTTACAAAAAGTGCTGTAATTTCTAAACCTCATAGTATCATTTAAATTCCAAAGTGCTGGAGTAAAGAGCCAAAACAACAACAAATGTGTCACTATCCCAATACTTTTGTAGCTCACTGTATATGCCATTTAAGTAGGAGGCGCTTTTATCCAAAGTGACAAGAGTGAGTTTATACATTTTCCTATGTATGTGATCGAGGGAGAATCGAACCCACAACTCTGGTGTTGCTTGGGCCATGCTCTTACTAATTGAGCTACACAAGACCACTACAATACAGAAGTACAATACAATACTGTAAAATAAAATACAAGATTACAATACAGGTAGAAAATGTATGATTGCCATCCCCAGAAGCCTGCCATGGCATCCTCCTTCAGGCCATGGATAAGGCATGCAATGACATCAATCCAGATTTATGTCAGTCTTGGATTCACCATGCTAAAATATTTTCCCCAGGTGCAAGAGGACAATTGTCAACGAGAACCTATGGCCAAATGCTCAAGACAGACTTGATGCAAACTAGTGCCTGCTAAACGTTTTTTGTTCCATTCATTTAATTTGATTACATTACACCTATGTTGTAATTATATCTGATCAATACATGTATTTTTAAAATCAATAACCACGTTTCCATCCACAGTTTTTATGCGAGTTAAGTCATACCGTATAAAAAAAAAAACAGCCGTGATGGAAACAGGTAGTTTCGGTACAATTTTATAAATGCCGACAGATAATTAGTTCGATCGACATGGTGGGATCTTTTTGTGTCGGTAACATTTATGCTATAAATGGTAGTGGAAACGCCTTTATGGTCAAATATTGATATAATAACCATCATATCGAAGTAAACTTGGAGTCACGCGATGATATGGTGTGTGTTTCTCCTCTATAAATTATGATGATTCACAGGGGGGTGAAAGTGCAGGGTGATCTTGATGCTCCTTTCCAATAAATAAAGATAATCTTATTCTGGTGACATGAGCTATGTTTGACTGCTGTTTGACAAATACAATTATTCTCGCTGTTATCCATAATAATATCTCACTGTATCTGCGAGCTGCACATTTGCGAGGAGGTTGTACCAATTAAAAATATGACAGCCACAGTGAAACATGCGAGTATGCACATTTGCTACTTAATGCAACCGTTTTTGTGACAAAACTATCCGTAGAGTTGAAAATGCGATGGAAACACATTGAAATTGTTATTTTTATTCGGTACATGAAAACTTAAGCAAAAAAGTACATTTTGTGTGCATTACGTAGGCTACATCATCACGCACTGACTTTTATCCGCAACAAGTATGTTTGGTGAAACACCACTGATGGGAAAATGTGCATATTTTCTTTACATATATTTTTGAATATTTGCATGAAAATCTGTCACCAATTGGATGAAAACCTAGCTATTGACTATGAAAGATGTCTTCAATGTGTGTTTATTGCCTGATGTGAAAACATGAATGTAACCACATAGTGTAACCATGGAGACATAGCTACCTTTCCTTTTATCTTTGTCTAATCTCCAATGTTCTTCTGACAAATTGTAGGTTAATGGCAAAACATCCAACGCTTGGACTGAATAAACTCTAGTTTCATTCCAGACGAATGGCCTTGTGTGGTGTGCTGGGGGCTCTTTCTCTCTCTCATGCAGTCTCTTTTTCTACTAAAACATGTACACACACTTGCCTCCAGTATATTGCAGTCCTTACTCATTTACTGACTCACTCTCAGTCTACTAATCCACTATCACCAAGAGTTATTCTCTGCACAACTGTACTGTTTTTATCTGTACACTCCGTGTTTTAACCCATATAAGAAACATTTTTCCTGTTATCCTTCATAGTATGTCTTGTGTGAAGTTTCACTCCATTTCCAAGAAATAATATCAAATAGGAAACAGACATGAGAACACAAATGTATCTACGTTTCAGTATTTTTTATTACAAGACAAATCTTACATTACAAAAACTACACCGGACTAGGTTTAGGGCTTATGTGAATGGACTTGAAAGGGGTGCATTGTCTGCACAGCAACTTCCCTCTGCTCCTTGTCTAGGCATTGGAGAATTTGGGCAGCTGGTTTCCCAAAACAACCCGTCTCTCCAGGCCCTCCTCTGTGATGGCTGCCAGACGGGCCACTCCTCCACTAGAACCGTCCCGCTCCATGGCAAGCGCCAGGGCTGAATGGAGAGAGGGACATATTAACAACACAGCCTGTGTCCCATCATATTCAACTAACAAGTATTTTTCAGTGGTCATGATTCATGAGTGAACAGAGATTAGAAAAGCAGTAGCTGAAGACATTTGAAACAGCCTAATGACATTGTGAAGAGAAGAGGTGGGCTACAGGGGCTGATGTGTGTGCAGGCATTTGTTCAAGCCCAACTGATTCAAATAATCAACTCATCGTGTAATCAGGGGATTCAATTTAGAACAACAATATTAGGACTATTTCAATCAGCTTTGTTACTGCAGGGCTTGAACAAAAGCCTGCACACACTGCAGCTCTCCAGGACCAGAATTACCCACCAGTGTGCTACTTATCCAGAGCGACGTACAGTAGTGAGTGCATACATTGTAATACTTTTTAAGTACTGGTCCCCAGTGGGAATCGAACCCACAACCCTGGCACTGCATGCTCTACCAACTGAGCTACATGAGACTGTCAACCTCTGGCCCTACTCACCCTGGGTACAGAAGTGAAGGCACTCTTCCTTGGTCATTCCAGGCTTGTAGTTAGAATCCATGAAGCCATAGATGTAGGAGCTACCAGAACCCCCTACTGACACTGGCTGCCTCACGATCATCCCTCCCATTGGGACTGTGTACACCTGGGGAAGAGTAGGGAAGGGTCATAATACAATTCTTTGAGACAATGGGGAAAAAGTGGTTGGTGTGTATGATCCAAATACAGATGCTGGGAACTCACCTGTCCACCCTTTCTTTTATCCCAGCCAGCCACAATGATGCCAGCCATCAGTTCCTCTCTGTATCTGTAGCACATCTGCTTGAAGAGGTTGGCTGCCGTTTCCACAAGTGGAGGCTCATCCAGCTCAATACTGCAGCAGGTCCAGAGAAGATACATTTCATGGTGAATAAACGTAGAATCAGACACGCTTTAGACATTATTTTTGGGTGGTATCGAGAGACCCACTATTGCTGTGTGCTGAGTTCTTTTTGGTTAAAGGTATTTGTCACCTAGGCCCTAGGGTGTTACCTGTGAAAGCCCAGCTGATAGGTGACTGCATCAGCAACAGCCTGTGTGTCAGCTGCAGACCCAGAGCGGCAGCAGAAGATGTGGTCGTGAATGGGAGTCAACTTGTCAGTAACTCGATTGGCAATGTAAGCGCTACAAACAGATGGAAAAGAGAAGGATTGTGACTTTTTGGCTGCACAAGGCAGTAAAGGCACATTATGAAAATGTTTGTGGAATTGAGGCCGACATAATCAGCAAGCTAGTATTGCTATTACCTAGATCAGGAAGTCAGCAAGACCTAAACTTAGCTGCTTGATCTAACTTACCCTGTTGTTGTTCGGGAGTCAGCACCAATCACAACCCCTCCATTAAACTCCACTGCCATAATGGTTGTCTGCAATTAGACATGTAAAATCAGCACTCAATTATCGCTTTATTTAGGTGAAAATAATCCCAATTACATTAGCTATGTAGAAGAGACTAATGGCTAACTGTCTAGCAACGTCATGATCTGGCATTGCCTGGAAACAAGACGTTGAATTGCATGTAGCTCAGCTGGTAGAGCACGGCGCTTATAACACCAAGGTAGTGGGTTCGATCCCCGGGACCACCCATACACAAAAAATAAAATAAAAAAAATGCATGCACGCATGACTGTAAATCGCTTTGGATAAAAGCGTCTGCTAAATGGCATATTATTATGTAATTATACTTTCCTGTGGATGTATTGTCTCACATTCCTACCCCATAGACAACCGGTACACTACGTTAAAATGTCACTTTATTCAACTTTCTGGCTTGTAGAAGTCGTGAGCCCAAACTTTCCGGATTCAAACGCTCATTTCTGCCCGACGTAGAATTCTATGCAATTCAACATCGTGCTTCCGTGCAAGATCTGGCTCAGCTGTAAGATGCTGGAGCTAGCTAACTAGCGTCGAATAGACGAGCGCTTCTGCAGTATCATTGTTAGCTAAGCTAGCTAGCCACGTAAATGTCCTGGCGTTCAGCTTGGGCAACTCATTTAAACATGTGTAAAAGGAAGGGTGCTATATTAAATTTCCTCACCCCAGTGCTAACTTCTTCTTGTGCCCATTCTGGTACAAAATCATTTGTACTAAAAGCATGTTCTAAACGGCTCGCTGACATGTACGCAGCCATCTTCAACGGCTAAATAATGTTCTTCTTTGCTGGTGGACTAGTTTAGTTTAACAAATTATGTTGTGCTGACTATCGCCACCTTCTGCATTGCATGAGTACATTAACTCCAGGGGTGGGAGTTCTAGATGATAGTCCAATCATTAATACAGCAAATTCTCGATTTTCAATACCTATCTATGAGCAAGCCAAATGCCAGACTTTCTATAAGTATTATTTTAAGCTTTAATAACATGATAAGAAAGGAAATCTCAAAATAATATTCTCAGTAAGAATATTCAAACACTGAAGCACTCTTTGGTATTGGATCTGCTTTAAATAATTCCTTAGAGGGACATTTAATTTTGCTCCAGTGCATTTTATATTGATTGGGTTGGTGGTTAAAACATGTGTCCCATTCATGTGGGACTGAGGAAAAGCTTTGTAACAAATCAAATCAAAGTTTATTGGTCACCTACACAGATTTGCAGATGTTATCGCAGGTGCAGCGAAATGCTTGTGTTTTTAGCGCCAACAGTGCAGTAATACCTAGCAATACGAAACAATGTGCACATAATCGGAGAAGTAAAAATAAAGAAATATCAGAATGAGCAATGTCGGAGTCTGGAATATAAATATATATATATATAATATATTATTATTATTGTATCTATATATCTATATATTTTGATATTTAATTTATATACAGTACCAGTCAAAAGTTTGGACACACCTACTCATTCATGGGTTTTTCTTTATTTTTAAAATGTTTCTACATTGTAGAATAATAGTGAAGACATCAAAACTATGAAATTACACATATGGAATCATGTAGTAACCAAAAAAGTATTAAACAAATCAAAATATATTTTATATTTGACATTCTTCAAAGTAGCCACCCTTTGCCTTGATGATAGCTTTAAACACTCTTGGCATTCTCTCAACCAGCTTCATGAGGAATGCTTTTCCAAATGTCTTGAAGGAGTTCCCACATATGCTGAGCACTTGTTGGCTGCTTTTCCTTCACTCTGCAGTCCAGCTCATCCCAAACCATCTCAATTGGGTTGAGGTCGGGGAATTGTGGAGGCCAGGTCATCTGATACAGCACTCCATCCCTTTCCTTCTTGGTCAAATAGCTTTACACAGCCTGGAGGTGTGTTGGGTCATTGTCCTGTTGAAAAACAAATGATAGTCCCACTAAGTGCAAACCAGATGGGATGGCGTATCGCTGCAGAATGCTGTGGTAGCAATGCTGGTTAAGTGTGACTTGAATTCTAATTAAATCACAGACAGTGTCACCAGCTAAACACCCCCACATCATCACACCTCCTCCACACATGTGGAGATCATCAGTTCACCTACTCTGTCTCACAAAGACACGGCGGTTGGAACCAAAAATCTCAAATTTAGACTCATCAGAACAAAGGACAGATGTCCACCGGTCTAATGTCCATTGCTCATGTTTCTTGGCCCAAGCAAGTCTCTTCTTATTATTGGAGTCCTTTAGTAGTGGAATCTTTGCAGCAATTCGACGATGAAGGTCTGATTCACGCAGTCTCCTGTGAACAGTTGATGTTGAGATGTGTCTGTTACTTGAACTCTGTGAAGCATTTATTTGGGCTGCAATCTGAGGTGCAGTTAACTCTAATGAACTTATCCTCTGCAGCATAGGCAACTCTGGGTCTTCCTTTCCTGTGGCGGTCCTCATGAGAGCCAGTTTCATCATAGCGCTTGATGGTTTTTGCGATTGCACTTGAAGAAACTTTCAAAGTTCTTGAAATTTTCTGGATTGACTGACCTTCATGTCTTAAATTAATGATGGACTGTCGTTTTCTCTTTGCTTATTTGAGCTGTTCTTGCCATAATATGGACTTGATCTTTTACCAAATAGGGCTATCTTCTGCATACCACCCCTAACTTGTCACAACACAACTGATTAGCTCAAACACATTAAGAAAGCAAGAAATTCCACAAATTAACTTTTAACAAGGCACACCTGTTAATTGAAATGCATTCCAGGTGACTACCTCATGAAGCTGGTTGAGAGAATGCCAAGAGTGTGCAAGGCTTTCATCAAGGCAAAGGGTGGCTACTTTGAAGAATCTCAAATATAAAATACATTTTGATTTGCTTAACACTTATTTGGTTACTACATGATTCCATATGTGTTATTTCATAGTTTTGATGCCTTCATTATTATTCTACAATATATACAACTGTAAAAAATAAAGAAATACCCTTGAATGAGTAGGTGTGTCCAAACTTTTGACTGGTAGTGTATGTATATATATATATATATATATATATGATGGTGAGTATAGACAGTATATGAATAGAAAAGGTGTGTACAGAAGTAGTTATAAGGGATGAGCCATGACTAGAATACAGTACATACATATAAAGTGGGTAAAACAGTATGTAAACATTATTAAAGTGACCAGTGTTCTATGACTATGTACAGTGCATTCGGAAAGTATTCAGACCCCTTGACTTTTTCAACATTTTGCTAAGTTACAGCCTTATTCTAAAATCGACAAATACATTAGAGTGTCTAGTTTGAGAAACAGACGCCTCACAGGTCCTCAACTGGCAGCTTCATTAAATAGTACCCGCAAAACACCAGTCTCAACGTCAACAGTGAAGAGGCGACTCCGGGATGCTGACCTTCAAGGCAGAGTTGCAAAGAAAAAGCCAAATCTCAGACTGGCCAGTAAAAATAAAAGATTAAGACTAGACACTCTAATGTATTTGTCCTCATGCTCAGTTGTGCACCGGGGCCTCCCACTCCTCTTTCTATTATGGTTAGAGCCAGTTTGAGCTGTTCTGTGAAGGGAGTAGACACAGCGTTTTACGAGATCTTCAGTTTCTTGGCAATTTCTCGCATGGGAGTGTCAGGCCATTTTGAGCCTGCAATCGAACCCACAATTGCTGATGCTCCAGATACTCAACTAGTCTCAAGAAGGCCAGTTTTATTGCTTCTTTAATCAGCACAACAGTTTTCAGATGTGCTAACATAATTGCAAAAGGGTTTTCTAATGATCAATTAGCCTTTTAAAATGATAAACTTGGATTAGCAAACACAACATGCCATTGGAACACAGGACTGATGTTTGCTGATAATGGGCCTCTGTACACCTATGTAGATATTCCATACAAAATCAGCCATTTCCAGCTACAATAGCCATTTACAACATTAACAATGTCTACACTGTATTTCTGATCAGTTTGATGTTATTTTAATGGACAAAGAAATTGATTTTCTTTCGAAAACAAGGACATTTCTAAGTGACCCCAAACTTTTGAACGGTAGTATAAGTATTCAGACCCTTTGCTCAGTACTTTGTTGAACCACCTTTGGCAGCAATTACAGGCTCGAATCTTCTTGGGTATGACGCTACAAGCTTGGCACACCTGTATTTGGGGAGTTTCTCCCATTCTTCTCTGCAGATCCTCTCAAGCTCTGTCAGGTTGGATGGGGAGCGTCGCTGCACAGCTTTTTTCAGGTCTCTCCAGAGATGTTCGATCAGGTTCAAGTCCGGGCTCTGGCTGGGCCACTCAAGGACATTCAGAGACTTGTCATGAAACCACTCCTGCGTTGTCTTGGCTGTGTGCTTAGGGTTGTTGTCCTGTTGGGAGGTAAACCTTCACCTGAGACTGAGGTCCTGAGCACTCCGGAGCAGGTTTTCATCAAGGATATCTCTGTACTTTGCTCCGTTCATCTTTCCCTCAATCCTGACTAGTCTCCCAGTCCCTGCCACTGAAAAACAGCCCCACAGCATGATGCTGCCACCACCATGCTTCACCATAGGGATGGTGCCAGGTTTCCTCTAGACGTGACGCTTGGCATTCAGGCCAAAGAGTTCAATCTTGGTTTCATCAGACCAGATCATCTTATTTCTTATGGTCTGAGAGTCCTTTAGGTGCCTTTTGGCAAACTCCAAGCAGGCTGTCATGTATCTTTTACTGAGGAGTGGCTTCTGTCTGGCCACTCTACCATAAAGGCCTGATTGGTGGAGTGCTGCAGAGATGATTGTCCTTCTGGAAGGTTCTCCCATCTCAACAGAGGAACTCTAGAGCTCTGTCAGAGTGACCACCGGGTTCTTGGTCACCTCCCTGACCAAGGCCCTTCTCCCTCGATTGCTCAGTTTGCCGGGCGGCCAGCCAGCTCTAGGAAGAGTCTTGGTGGTTCCAAACTTGTTCCATTTAAGAATGATGGAGACCATTGTGTTCTTGGGGACCTTCAATACTGCAGACATTTTTTGGTACCCTTCCCCAGATATGTGCCTCGATACAATCCTGTCTCTGAGCTCTACGGACAATTCCTTCGACCTCATGGCTTGGTTTTTGCTCTGACATGTACTGTCAACTGTGGGACCTTATATTGACAGGTGTGTGCCTTTCCAAATCATGTCCAATCAATTGAATTTACCACAGGTGGACTCCAATCAAGTTGTGGAAACATCTCAAGGATGATCAATGGAAACAGGATGCACCTGAGCTCAATTTCGAGTCTCATAGCAAAGGGTCTGAATACTTATTTCAATAAGGTATTTCTGTTTTTGTTTTTTTATAAATGTGCAAAACAAATACCAAACCTGTTTTCGCTTTGTCATTATAGGGTATTGTGTGTAGATTGATGAGAAAAAAAAATAATAATCAATTTCAGAATAAGGCTGTAATGTAACAAAATGTGGAAAAAGTCAAGGGGACTGAATATTTTCCGAATGCACTGTACAGTCTCGGTAAGGTGCAGGGTAGAGTACCAGGCGGTAGCCGGCTAGTAACAGTGACTAAGGTTCAGGGTAGGGTACTGGGCGGAGGCCAGCTAGTGGTGACTGTTTAACAGTCTGATGGCCTGGAGATAGAAGCTGTTTATAAGTCTTTGATGCACCTATACTGTCTCCTCCTTCTAGATGGTAGAAAGGTGAACAGGCCGTGGCTCGGGTGGCTGAGGTCCTTGATGATCTTCTTGGCCTTCCTTTGACACTGGGTGCTGTAGATGTCCTGGAGGGCAGGCAGTGTGA